CAACCTCCTCATATGAGCCTCTTCTCGTTTCCCATTTCGTGCGATTTTTCTACCGTTGTGTTTACCCTTCTGTTTTCTACAGGTTGAATGAAAAAAAAACATCTAGTCGCAAAGGTGAGTCAACGGAGGCACCACACCGAAAAATTCTACCACAGATAGGCTTTTATTTTTTTTTTAATTTTTTGGTTAACCGAGGTCCCTAAACGTGTTTTTTCGTAGAGATGGGTATAAAACCGGACAAAACTTGCCAAAACTGGCCGAAAACGATCAGGCCAAGGTGGCGGCGATGCTCTCGCTAGATCACGGTGGTGCTGCCATGCTAGAACCCCAAAATTTGTCAAAAAAGAATTTTTAACATCGATTTTAGGTTTTTGAGGTATTTTTAGGTACATGGAGCGTGTTTTAATCTCCGCAAGAAAGTTCAAGATATCCGGGGACTGTCAGTAGGCACAATAAAAATTTCGGTATTTCGAACACCGATTCGAGTAAGAATCTCCACCTTATTCTCTATTATGGAATTAAAATTTAATAATCGATAATATGGTATTTGCGTAATTTAAAAATTTTTAAGAATAATTACAGGTTATTAATAGAGCCGAAACCGGTGAGTTATTTCTTCGTTTGTCCTGTGTAACTGATTGTTTACTTTTTTAGCTTTGAATACATAAGAATATACTAAAATGGTTAAATGATTTAATTCTGTTTCCTTAATGTATATTTATTGATTGTCTTGCATGATTTACAGTTAATTTATGAAATTAAAAATTAATATGCAAACGAAAAAAAATTGCTTGTATGTGAATTAATGAATGATAGTCTTACTGGATATCCTGAGAGATGGTGGAGGGATCGAGTACATAGGGAATCCTATTGTGAACGTTAGCTCATACCGAACGGGGTATCAAGAAATGATATTTTTGGCACTCATGCCGGACAGGGTATGAGGACGACCCGATTCACCCTCATACCGGACGAAGTATTGAATGATGATATTTTTAACGTTCATACCGGACGGGGTATGCGAACGACCGGTAGTTGACAATGTTGGATATTTGTTCACGCGTAGTGGGACATCCCTATAAACCCCCAGAGATACTAGTAGGCAAATAAAAATGGAAAGTTGTTGCTCTTACTCACTTGAATATGAGATTAGAATGTTATTTGAGTTATTGTCTCTATGAGTCTATTTTGGCAATCTTGCAATGGTAAATATATGCAATAAATGGTTTTTCCTATGATAAATGAATTTACTTAAATCAACAGCTCTATTGGTTATTTTTATAATTTTTAACAACCTTCAGTTTCTGTATCGGTGAGTAGTGTGATATTCTTACTAGGCTAGTGTAGCTCACCCTTTCATTAACTATTTCAGATCAAGATGACCAAGACTCAGATCCCGATCAACAAGAGGGTTGTGAATAATTCACCACCCGAACTCCCTTTAAAAACTAGTGAAGGTCGTTCTAGAATGCTCAGTATATTGCCTTTATTTATTTCTTTAATTTTCGTTTGTTCTTTTAAAAAGGATATTCATGTAACTCTATTGGACATTCTATATTATTGTGTAAGGAATGTAAACCCTAAACTCTATTATTTTGTTTCTGCATTTAATTTATAACTTTATTTCATTTTAAGTTCCGAGTCTTTACAAGATATCTTAATGGAGTAGATAATTTTAAAATAAATTATAGAATTATTGTATTTTATGATAATTAAACTATAATAATAGAAACAGTTACAAACACATTCAATTATTATGAATGTGTTTTGACCTCTTCTCTAATTCCATAAAGAAAGAATGGGATTTATTCTTGTCAGAGAATTAATGATTTTATTAAGGAGTCTCTTAATCTCGCTATATATGTATCATTTTCGAATGGTATGTAACTATAACTTTCTGTTGCTATTCTTTTTTTTAAGATGTGTTGAATTCAATAAAAATAATTTTTGTGTCAAATATTCTTTCATTTGGTATTAGAACGAGACTGAATTCACACATCTTAGAATTCTACTAACAATTTTTATATATATATATATTATTACGCTGACAGTTTATATATATTTGTATATTATTAACAATTTATATATATATTATTATACTAACAATTTATATATATTTATATATTATTAACAGTTTGTATATATATTATTATACTAACAGTTTATATGTATATATATTATACTAACAATTCATATATATTTATATGTTATTAACAATTTATATATATATTATTATATTAACAGTTTATATGTATATATATTATTCTAACAGTTTATATATATATATTAACAATTTATATATATGTATATATTTTAAATTAACAATTAATTTCATAATATAAATATATATGTATATTTATACAAATTATGATTTCGTAGTTTATTGACTTAAAATTTATTTACATGAGTAGTTAGCAAAGTACTCCATATTGATAAATCTTGCGGTAGTTAAACATCATTAAAGAATTAAGGAGGACTTATAAATAAATAATATATATTTTTTATAATTATGAGATTGAAACTAACCCAAAAGAGAGTTACTTTCTACTAATCATAAACGGATAGTGTATTTTGTATTATAGATGGATACCCAAAGATAACATGTGAATGACAAAAAATGTTAAGTATTTTAAACTCCTTTTAGTAAACACTAGATATGCTACCATTTTGCCCAAAGAAAAAACTATAGTGATATCAATCGTTCATCGTTTATAAATTTTAATTCTATATTATAGATATACGTGAGGTTTTAATGTGAACATTATTCTTTTTTTACAATTCTCACTTTATTGTACTCTTTTTCATATGGAATGATAACTTTTGATGAGTTAAATTTTACGGTGCAACACCCAAAATAATCTTTTCTATTTTATTATTATTTTTTTGATTTAATTTAATTTAAATTAATTTTTTGTGAATATAAAAATATTAATAATGATAAAATTGGGTAAAAATATTATTTGGATTTAATTGAAATTGATTTTGGAAAAAATGGGTGAAAATTTGGATTATGAGGATATTTTTGAAAAAAAATTCGGAAACCGGAGGTCAAAACGCAATTTAAAAAAATTATGCTCCGTCAGCGCCACGTCAGCAGCCACGTCAGCGACCCAGTCAGCAACCCTGGCCAACCAGGACCTGCCGCGTGGCAAGGCCACGCTGACCCGGGAACGGGCCACGTGGGCAAACCGCATGCGGGCGATCGGACGGCCCAGATGCGTCCCCGCGCTCACGGACGGCCCAGATCAAGCGT